CCTGTCTTGGTCCCAGTTTTGACCACTAAAAGGCTTGAATCGTAGTCCCCTCAAAGCTGTCAGACCTCACATGTCCACTGAACACACTGTTTTCAGACAAAAGCAAGTCCACTGGCACACACACACTTCGAAGATAGAACTCATACGGGAAACTAGAATTAAATTCCATTTAGAGGGTTATAAATGGAATTAATGGGCAGTCCAGTCCAGATTGATTTAGCAACCAAATGTGCTTTTATGTGTGTTTACTTTCAGCCCAGGTGTGCCAAAGCTCATTATAGAAGCACTTAAAGCAATTCAGCAGCTGCAGCGGTGCTGCTGTGTTACTGAGATCATTAGCTCTGTAGCAGGGGCGAGATGTTCTGCAGGTTTGTTGTAGTGGTTGGATGCAGATTTAAGAAGTACTCCTGTAAAATGTATGATATTTGTTTTTCTTTTTTAGCAACAAAGAACTAATACAACGAGGAGGACATAGATGCTAACTTAGCTGTGCAAGACTTAATTGTGTTTAGCTGAAATCCTTAGTTTTCTGAAATGACATGTAGATTCACCATTAACTGATTCAGATCTTTTAGGGTTGGTGGTGAGAGACATCATTTTGTGAAATTGTAGTAAATATGATTATTCTTATATATTTTCTGATTCATATGTGAGTTTAAGTATACTTAAATGATACTTGATTATTAAAAAGTGAGCTGGGATGGACTCCAGATCCCCCATGATCCCGTTACGAATAAGTTGTATTATAGAAAATCGATCAATATTACTTTTGGAAACTGCTTAAAGAAAAAGAATGACTGAATAGGTGTGTTTTGCATTCTATGCCATCAATACAGTTCCTGATCATTAGAGCTTATTTAACAACTCGTATTTAATTATTCCAACAACTATTCAACAACAACCAGAGGTTTGATACTTTTTTAATCCAACTTATGCCATTACTGCCTGCATGAACAAAGGAGGAAGCAAAGAGTAAACGTTAGCGAAAGAGTAAACTAATAAATGGAGCACCTCAGCAAGTGAATTACAAAGAGGACAGTAGTAACTTTGGGCAGTAAACGTATCTGAGACGTTCCAAAACTTGTCCTTCCTTTATGTGTGCTATTTAACAGTTTGATGTGTTGTGTTCTCAGATGAACATGCTGCTACGGCTGCAGGAGGCAGCTAACTACTCCAGCACACAGAGCTGCGACAGCGACAGCACAAGTCACCATGACGACCAGCTGGACTCCTCACTGGAGTCGGCCCTATGATTCTAGAGCGGTGCTGGCAGACCTCGAATCCTTGGACCTAACCTGAGCCCAGAGTTTCTGGAGACCTCGTCACTAGCAGACATCTCTATAGCCAAAAGATGTGTGATATATGAAAAGTTTTATTATCCAAAATGATATACTCACCATTCGAAAGAAATGCCTATTTTTACATAGTGATGGTGCAATAGTAAACCAAATTATTTTATGTTTTACAGAGTTTTTTTAACTTGGTCCTCAGCGGTCACAAAGTTATACAATGATACATGTCAGATCTTGTCTATTTAACTGGCATCAAATAGCATTAGCCAGACATTTTAATGGATGTATAACATTTTAAGGATACAATTTTCATATGTGTTATGTGGAATGTTTCTGATGAGGGACTTTAGCTCCTCTGATGTGAACTTCCAGTGAGTGAATCACATGTGTGCTCAGCCACGATGAGCCACTAGTTCCAGACATCAATCTACAAGGGGTCACAAAATAAGATTTAACGTTACAAAACTGGATTTTATTTTTCAGCCCAGTTCTATATACAGATGTTTACACTGGGAGGGGAATTTCTGTTGTTTCTGTATTTCCTTGTTTACAGAGGTGCTTCTCACGGATACACAAACACACTCACTTCGGAATGCACTCTCCCACAGGCAGCAGGAGGAGGAAGAAACTCCTTTAATCGGAGATTTTAATCAGTCTAAGCAGTCATTGATTAAGAGTCCATTATGGCAGAGTTGCCTTGAGAAGGGCACTGTATCTCCACCACTTCCAGGGCCCTGATATCTGTGAGCTCAGCAAGTACATGGAAAGTTTTTTCCAGACGATGTAATGCCCTCTGGTGGCTAAATCCGGTGCTTTTTACACACAAATCCAATTCATCACGGACCTTCGATTAATTTCATTAGAAATAGTTGATTAAAGTCGTGTTTGAATAAAGACAGCAGTGAGGCCTTTACACACTAGCCTGGATCATAAAGATCATGTGATCATAGCAAAAGGACACACACACACACTCCTTCTGCCCGCAGCTCAGTGGTCAGTTGAGCTTAGTGGTGCCGGTCTTCTGGCCTGAAGCTCCTCAGTGTCAGACACTGCCAAGCCACTCCTCGCTGCCCCTCACGCCAACAACAAGCACAACAAAAGCATATTACCTGTGTGTCACCCGGCCACACCGCTACTGTGAAAACCACGTGGAAAGGTGCCAATGTTTCCCTTTGATTAGACTGCCAACTGTTCACACCCACAGAGTTTCAATCACAATGCCGAGCCGAGCGCTTTACGGGCTCACGTTGGATTAGGTTGTTCTTGGCCTTCCACAGAACACAGCAGGTATCACTCTGTAGCTCTTAACACCATGACAACAGCTGGCATTGTCCTCTGCGGGCCACCGTAGGAAAAGCCAAATTTCTGTGGCATTAGCTTTAATCTCAATGAAGAACCACCCACTGAGGGGATTAAGAAGGTGAAGGAAAAGCAACAGATCAACCTGGACTTAAAAAAACACACATTCTGACAGTTCCTGAACCTCATTAGACATGGTGGTCGGCAACTGCATTCATCTCTGTTGATGAGATACCAAAAAAGATTTACAGTAGTACAGTCTAATATGAATAAGTAAAGTGCTGAATAAGGGAATACTTATTTTGGTGCTTTCTCACTGCCTTAAAAGTGTCAAATTTCTTGAAGCATATTCTGCTCCTCCAGATTGTAAGTGAGAAAAAGCGATGTTTGTGTTGGATGATCAGATCTGCTTCCTAATTCATAGAAGATGCTGCATATAGTTGTAAAAACAGCCTTTTTTTATTTGCTGCCCCTCCTCCTCCCTCCGAAATGTGCTCTCCTCAGTCCGACAGAATATGAAAGATGTGATGCTGTATTTAAAATCAAACTGTTATTGTAAAAACAAATAAGACAAAAAGGTGGGGTGGGCTATTTTTTTAGTTGTGTTGCGCCCAGTTGACCTGGGCTCACTTGAACTAGGCTCACTTGAACTGACAGGAGCACAACCAAACTGTTTAAGGTTTTCTAGCCTGGTGAGCATGTTTTCAAGATTTTTAAAGGGGATGCATTAAGAAAAGACCTTTACCTTTATGTATGCTTGTATTGGACGGAAGCCATTTAGAATTTCGATTGTCCTTTCTTTGTTTAAGTGGGTTGGTTTTGCACACTTTGAGGTCGGGGTGGGTTGTAAATACTTCAGTCTTGCACAGTGAATCAAAGATGCATTCTGCCCTGTTGATGTTACAATATGCTTAACCCGCTGAGTAAATTATTGTACTGAAAAAAAAAAATGCAAAAACTCAACACGCTGTCTGAAACAGGTGTGCGTCTTGTGGGGATTGGATGTTTTGCCTATGCAGGATGCATACGGTGTACAGTCAAAAAAACAAAACAAAAAAAAGATAAAAAAGAACATTTGAACTTACTCAAATCAAAAACTGAGAAAAAAAAAGGCACTTCTCCAGTATTCCACCCGTGCTCTGCCTGCCGTGATATCCCTGGATCTTCTGTCTTTAGACATGCATCTTGTTCCCCGGAAGCACTTCTCCTCCCTGGACACGTTCACTGGAGCTCACAGCCGTGTGAGGCCCGCCTGCTGTCTGAGGCACAGCAGCTGACGTGACGCCGTACTGTACACAACAACCAACAGGTGCTACTGGTCAGTCAAAGCCCAACAGAGACCAAGAATTCCCATTGTCACAACCTCAGGACAGTCCTTCCTCTACAATCCTACCTGTGCCCAGCTTCACGTGCGTCCGTGCAGCTGAGCCTCAGAACGATCACACATATTCCTGACCAGCTTTGTCAACCTTTTGTCCGCAAGGGTGTGTAGTTGCATGCTAAGGGGATGGTTACCCTGATTACAGGTTGCTCCTTACCCAGACTTGCACCCGTGTATCAAGCCTACTCGTTACGGACCCGTAGTCTCTAAGATAACAAAGCTTTCACACAGTGTTCATCATAGTGAGCTGGTCATTTTTCCCAAGTACACTTCACATTTACAACTCGGTTGGAGACCATAGCATTTACTCTGGTTTGAGAGAAAGTTTTTCTTCGTTTTGGGTGAAACATTTGTCCTTAAATGTTTTATATTTTGTACATTTTTATGTAACATATCATGTAAATAGACAGAGACAGTGATTTAACTCATCTGGAGGATTTTGTAGTCTTTGTAAAGCCCTAATAAATGGTATTTGGTGTCACTCAAGCAGACAATATGTTGGCCTTTTCTTGATTTTTCAATGTAGAAAAACAGCGCAAGCACCCGAGATATCGACTCTAAAAACTTTACCCAAGTGGAAATTAAAGTCTCACCTAATGAAAAATACAATGATACAGTGAGTAAAATCCTTGAGAGGTGTCCATTCAGAGGACACGCTAAAGTATGTGTTATGTGTAGGAGTTCTGACTCAGACAAAAGACTTAATTGTTGCACAGAAACTACCCCAAATACATGTGTGCGTGCGTGTGGAAAAATATACATATACATTAATTGTATTCACCAATGGGTTGTATACCTATATCAAGATAATTCAGATATAAAATAAGTAGGAAATACAGCTAATATTTCTCTAAAAGGTTAGCTTAACTTAAAACGTCGGTGCCATTGTGACCACAGAAATAATATATTTATTACAATAAGAATACATGTGTAAAATAACAATGAAGTCGTCTGCTTTTTTTCCTGATAAAAGAAAGACATCTATTGATACCTTTTTATTTTGAAGGGCAGCTGCCTTTTCTCTTCCGGTGAGCTCACGGCAGAAATGGGACCCAGCGCGACTTCTGTGGGGGAGTCTGAAAACCACAAAATGTTTAAAACCAACGGAGATGCGGTATCTTTACCGAAACATTCCTACTGGTTTGACTTCTGGGTCTTTGTGCTGTTCGACATCGCGCTATTCATCTTCATATATTTCATAGTCCCTTAATAAGGTACGTTAAAGGGAGCACAGAAGTTTCCAGTGAAACGGGCGGCTACGGAAGTTGCTAGACGAAGAAGCTAATCTTATTTTAAACGGACGAGGAGCTAAAATAAACGTTAAAACTTGTTTTTACCTGTCAAAGGTTCTTATCAATTTATCCATTCTTAAGACATATTAATCACAACCTGGGCTCTTTTAAAGTATTTATACCAAACACAGTTGTCTGCTTCTTTTCCTCGTATTTGATGAATGTTCTAGAAGTTCGTGTAAACTCATCGGTATCTGTTGAGTGTTGCACAGCTGTGTTGTTGCTTGTTTAATTACACGTTTGGGTAAAGTGTCCTTCTCTGTTAAAGGTTTGAGTGGATTTTGTAGCCGGAGGAAATGGAGCACTGGGACCTACCCTGCCAACAGGAGAGCTAACACATCTCTTGACTGAATTTTTACGGCCTTGGATGGGATATCACATCTCAAGTTTCCACAGAAGATCAAACGCTACGTCTAAGTCGTCATGACTTGATATTTAGACTTCTGGACTTTTCCCTGTAACCAGTGCTTGTGGTCTGACTGATGGTGTGGATGGACTCCTGTGGGGAACCAAGGGACATTTAAAATCTAAAGTATTTATTTGATTGAAAACTCACAATGCGTTGACTGACTGCCAACCATAGAACTTAAAAGCTGTAATGACTGTAAAATCACTAAGACACTGTTTTCACTGTAAATGCTTTGCCTTTTTTTATCTGTTTATCTCATTTTTACTCTGCATCGTGACGTGCTCACATACTGATCAAGACTTTGGGAAGTCGAGTGTAACTCAGAATCTGGAGAAGTTTGTTTTGTACTCTTGAGTCGACCAATGTCAGATAATTGAGCTCGTTTTTGCACACAAACATTGCATTGTGGAGGAATTCAAAACAGACGTGGTTGCATACAACAAATAAAGTGTTTGCCTACCTGTTAAATGTAGATGATTTTGAATGTACTTTTTCAGATTTTTCATATACATTCCCTGAATGTCAAGTTGACACTGGTCGACTTGATTATCACTGTCTTAATAGTTACTTGATTGTTTTATGATTTTCTCCTTTAAGAATACAATCTTTAGTGTGGCTGACTGGAAGATTTTTGAATGACTTGATTAATTAAAATATTTTAATGAGATCTGATTCATTTATTTTTTACGTTCGCTGGGAAGTTTTTCATTTTATTTTGAAGAAAGAGTTAACGTTTCCGTTTTTAGAGTGATTGTTAGTAAGGGGCGTACCATGTTGTTTTAGTTTGTCAATGATTTAAAAGTAATTGTATGAAATATCCAAAATGGAAAGCAACCGTCAAGTGGAAAGCACGGGTCTGTTGTGTGTTTGTGTGTGTTCAGGAAGTTGTTGCTGCTGGACGCTTTCACGTAAGGTTGTTAGCTCGTGCTTAAGCTAACGGCTGTGATTACTTCCATTTAGCTCACGCGAGAACAACAATACTCAAGACTTAGAGCTTGAATACATTAAACTAAAAAACATACTTTTCCCCTCTTGACATGCTTTGAAACGAGAAATTTTGAACGCTCATTTTTAAGGGGTTAACTAAAGCTTTACAGTTTGATGCTGGTTAGTTACTGAATTGCTGATGCAAACCTTTTTGAGCTAATGCTAATTGTTTGGCTGTTTATTTTCTCCCAAACATGGCGACACCCTAAGTCATATCTGAGTTCAGATTGGAATGTATTAGAGATTTTAGAAATTCTTTTACCAAGCTAGCTGTCAATGACTGGGGTCATGTTATCTATATAAGTTCCTGCTTTACACAATGTTAGTTATCTTCTTTTCAACATTGTAATTTGACGTCCAGAACATTCTCAGTGAAGGTGTCAGGTATTTTTTTTAGCTGGAGGTTTTTGACAAATTTTTTTGACTCAATATTTGTTTTTTAAAAAGAATGCTCAAACATTCAGAAATTAATTATTTCCCATCATTTAAATCCATTTTCTTCTAGGTTGTTTTTTTGGCAAGAGGGGCACTATTATTCCTCTGAGACATGTCATGACCTTATCAAGCTTCCTGTCTGTGGATAAACAGATATATTCCTTCCGCTGTCATCCCTGAGGCTGCTGATGCCCCCTCTGCGGCTGCTGTCTGCAGCGATGTGGCAAGTGGCTCAGCAGAGAGACGTTCTTCATTATGAGAAGCTGGACGAGTTTGTGACAATGGTGACGGCGACAGTCCCGGACCTGCTCAGCCCGAAGCAGAGAGGAAAGCTGCTTCTGCGACTGCGAGCCAAAGTCAGTCAGTCAGCAGCAATCAGGATGACACAAAATCCCCCAAAACTGGTCCTTTTTAATTGATCCAGAAGTAAAGACTTCTTCCTTTTTATCCTGGCTTTCAGATCATTCTGGAGTTGTGCAGAAGCGAGGAAACAGCCAACGCTGTCTATGTGCAGCCTCACCTGGAGCGAATCCGCCCACTGGGATACTCGGGGGTAAGTGAGGGAAGGGATTTTACACCTGACAAATTAAAATCCAGAAAAATCAGACCATAGAAATGCCATTGTTTTAGTCTGTTGGAATACTTATCAGAGGATGGATGATAGTTCCAAACACTGTTTCTTTCAGAGTGGGGATGCAGAGGTGGATGCAGAGGAGGCCATTTTTGTGGAACTAATCCAGACCCTATTGAATGACCCAGCAGAGAAGGAACACTTTTACCAGGTAAAGCAGATTAACACACGTATGTTTTAACCCTTTCACGCGGCCGACACAGCGGCACTTTAAGCTGCAGATTTACAGGGTTTTTATACTATTATCTGAGACGGTATACTCGTTTGCTCTGATTTTCTTTTCAGTGTGATGTCTGAAAAAGCTTATGATTCATGCACCTTACTGTTTTTTTCTATGTCTCTTTGTTATGGAGGTTTTGGGAGTAAGTGTTCCCTGTCTTTTTTATTTAGTTCCTTTTTTTTTTTGTTATTCCCAGGAGGTTTTTCCAGCAGAGTATGGCCTCAGCTACGATTCGGACATGCAGCTACTCGTGTGGGAGTTTCTTTCCAAACTGGAGAGACTCCTGCCAGTGCCAGACCTGGCTCAGGTAGGAGTTGCTGCTGTTCTATTATATTGTGTACCCCTCTGTGTTTTTAGACTGAAAAATGCCATTAATAGCTTATTGGGTATTGTGTTTGTATTTGTAATACCGTGAAGTGGCTGTTCACTCCTTGTTTTAAAGTCATATCCATATCCAGTAATAACAGCAGTGTTGGTAAAACTGGTTTGTGTGTATTAAATCAAGGATTTAACTTTTATTTACGACCAACTGTTCTCATTTGACGTAGAATCTTTTTCAGTTGCCTTCTCTCCTCAAATATGATTACGTTGTGATTCCATCTATCTCCTTTTTGCTTTTACCCATAAACAGGCTGTTTCATGGCTCACCTCTGGCCCCTCTGTGCTGATGGAATGTTTGCAAGCGCTCTCCAGCCCCGATGACTTGAGGTCTCTTCTGCAGCACCACAAAAGCCTGGAGTCCCTCAGAGCACAAGGTAAAGCAGATGTGTAAGTCATTTTTAAACTTGGCTTCTAAATGGGCGGGTGTTTTCCTTCAGTAAAGCTTCTGACTCACTCTGATGTTCAAAAATGATCACAGACGTTTTTGATGAAATCTACCATCCTGAGCAACTCGGTGGGTCTAAAAATCTGTCAGCCTCTATCACAGAAACAAGCAAATCCCAGCAAATCTTCCAGTATCTTCTTACTGCCAGTTTATCTGAGCATTAAAACACATTTAACAGAAACGGTCGTTTGAACGGCTGTCGGTCAGGTCTCACAAGGGACTTTAACGTGCTTATCAAATATATTTATTTAGTTTACCATTTGATTCTGTGCTCTGCTCAGGTACCAGGGTGGAGATGTCCAGTCAGGTCTTCGCCTGCTCGGAGTGTCCGTTCTTCCACATGCAGGAGTCGTACCTGCAGCAGCACATGCAGCGCAGCCACCCTGACCAGTACGGCCGGCTGCAGCGGGCGGCCCAGACGGCCCCCGGGAGCAAGCCCCGGCGCCCCGCCTTCCCCCAGCCCTTCCCCATCCACCAGCGGCCCGACCCCCACGCCTGCCGGGACTGCGGCAAGACCTTCACGCGCGCCTCGGACGTGACGCGCCACCAGCGCACGCACACGGGCGAGCGCCCCTACGCCTGCCCGCAGTGCCCCAAGGGCTTCCGGAACTCCTGGGACCTGACCCGGCACCAGCGCGTGCACACGGGCGAGCGGCCCTTCCTCTGCTCGCGCTGCGGGAAGCGCTTCACCCAGATGGGGCTGCTCAAGCTGCACTTCGAGCGCGGCGCCTGCGGCCAGGCCGCCGGCCCCCCGCTGGACCTGACCACCGAGGTGGTGGTGGCCCAGGAGGCGCCGGGGAGAGAGGGCGGGCAGTACAAGTGCCAGAAGTGCGGCGAGAGCTTCGGCAGCATCCTGGAGCGGCTGAGGCACCGGCAGAGGCACGCGGCCAGGCGCCAGTACAAGTGCCCCCAGTGCGAGAAGCTCTACGGCCGCGCGTCGGACCTCCGGAGGCACCAGATGAAGCACACGGGCGAGCGGCCCTTCGGCTGCGACTGCGGGAAGAGCTTCACGCACGTGTGGCTGCTGAAGAAGCACCAGCAGGTGCACGTCCGGGAGCGCCCGCACCCCTGCCCCGAGTGCGGCAAAAGCTTCACGCAGCTCCAGATCCTCAGCCGCCACCTGCTGACCCACAACGGCCGCCGGCCCTTCCAGTGCCCGGCCTGCGAGAAGAGCTTCACCCAGCTGGCCAGCCTCACGCGGCACGAGAGAATCCACACGGGGGAGCGGCCTTACGCCTGCGTCACGTGCCACAAAGCCTTCCTGACCAACGGCGAGCTGGCCAGACACCAGCGCAGCCACAGCAGCCTGCGCCCCTTCGGCTGCCCGCAGTGCCCCAAGAGCTTCAAAACCAAACGCTCTCAGACGGAACACCTCAACAGCCACGCGGGCCAGCGGCCCTTCGAATGCGCCCACTGCGGGAAGCGCTTCACCAAGTCCACCTCGCTCATACGCCACAACCTGACCCACACGGGCGAGCGCCCTCACCAGTGCTCGCAGTGCGGCAAGGCCTTCATCACGTCCGGAGAGCTGCTGCTGCACAGCCGCGTGCACACGGGGGAGCGGCCCTACCCCTGCTCCTACTGCCCGAAGAGGTTCAGGTGCTCCTCCGACCTCAACATGCACGTCCGCACGCACACGGGGGAGAAGCCCCACAGCTGTCTGCTCTGCAGGAAGGGCTTCTCCACGTCCACCCGGCTGAAGAGACACATGCGCACACACACCGAGAAGGAGGTGGTGGAGGAATCGTTAAGCCTTTGAGTTTCCTGAAACAAATAGTTTGAACTTTCAAATGGATATCTTTAGAAATAAAGACAAGGTTCAACTTTATTTTAAATTCAGCCGATCATTCTGTCAACTTTTTTTTTTAATTCAGTTAGCTGAAAATAAAAGGGTATCCAAAAAGGAGAGCTGAAGGAAGGATTTAAAAAGAAAAAAGAGCCTGTGGGGTATACAGCTGTCCCCAAAATAGCTAAGAACCTCCTGAAGTGGTGTGTGGTTTGGACTCTCGTCCTGTTAATCGTCTCAAAACAATTTAGATCTGTTGTCTCTTAGCTGTGGGTGGGAGAACTTCTGAAAAAAAAACAGGGTCTGATTGGAAATAAAAACAGCCATGGTTGTTGTATAATTGAATCTTCATACTCTGTTGAGCCATGTTATGGTCAAACAGAACATAAAGTATCTAAAAAGTAGTTATTCAAAGATTAGACAATTATAATTTAACACGTAAAACAAGGACAAGAGGCTAAACTTAGATAGTTGTTGCATTAAAATGATGAGGTTGAAAATAAGTCTGCTTAAGAATAAAGATGAGAGAAGAGTGTCAACAGGGCAAAGGAAAAATTTAAAAATATTGCTATTAGAGATGAGAAACGAGGATATATAAACACACTAAATGCATGTATGTATTTATATAAGTGTGTGTGAGAAAGTATATCCCTAATGATCATAGTCATTTATCTTAAATATGTGTTCAGATTTCCACACGGGCGATCACATTTAAATCAAATGCATTGTTACCGAGCGTTACCACGTGGTCTTCACTTTGAATATGAAATTCCCTCCCAAGTTTCCCGCCGGACTACTTATTTGAAGGAACTTCCTGTCCCACCCACATTCCTGTGTCACTTCCGGGTGGTGGTTACTGAATACTTAACAAGCGAGCTGTCGGTATCGTTTCGCCGTAAACAAAAGTTTCTAAACGGTTTTACCCGAGCAACAAATTAAGCCGAAAGATATGCATATAAAAGGAGGTAAGTTTTTTCAACGTTCTAATACATGTTATTTCAGTTATGTACCTTCAGACGTACTATTTTTACAACCTGTCCGTGGTGATAGCAAATGAGCTAGCGGTATTGATGGCAGCCTGGTTACCACTTTGAATGAGGGGGTGGGGGGTAGGGGGTTATGAAACTTTGCCTTGCTTAGCACAACGGCTAGCTGTTGTCCACATGCTGTACATATTTGTGTATCTTAGGCGACAGTTGGTGATTTATTTTAAACAAAGCGGAACTATACAGTTTGAGTCTGCTGGCATCGGATAAAGATTAGGTTGAATTGACCGTGACGCCGCTGATTACAGTTCGCTAACACCGGTGCTGGTTTTTAACACTCATTGTCGGGGTTACAACGTATGACCCAGAAAGTAGCGCTGTTTGAGGAGTCACCGAGACCCAGACGACTTGTTTCTTCCGTGGTGAGTGAGGGAACTGTAGAGCTATGGAGTAGTTTCTGGAAATTTCTGCGGCGCTGCATGAGACTCGGAGCGGAGTGGCGCTTTGGAGCTGGCTCGCTATTAAGGCCGGTTGTATCTTATCTAACCGCGCTGAGGGATGCACTTCAAACACCTACCCTTACTTAACTTGGTTTGGGACTTTCCCACCGTATTACATATCAGATGTCCCGGGACCCAACCGGGATAATGTCTGGTTCGGTCTGGTATTTGTCATGTGACTCGACAATCATTGTTAAACAATAAAGATTAAGTAAGCGCTCCGTTTCCACGAACAGTTTATTGTGCAACACCAGTTTGATAAACGGTGTTGAAAGTTTTTTTTTTTTTTTTTTAGTTTTATTTTTTAAATCTCTACTTTGAAACAAAAATTAACTTGTGGGGAGTACCTTTTTATAGAGTTAAACAGACATTAAACAATTGTTTTTCTTTTATTCGGCGTCTTGATAAAAGCACATGGTGGGCTCCGAGTGATTATTAGCCATTGTGTATCAGACCTGACCTGTGATTGGGTTTTGTTCAACTGACCCAGTTGACTCGGTTCAGTTTGTAAAAGAGCAGAAGTTCACATTCACCTTAACTGCTAAGCTGAAGTCACATGACTGCGAGTCATCCTCACAGAAACGGTGTCAAGCTATTTTATGATCAGATGTTGGTCTGTATGTAGCCATTATGAATATGAAACCTAGTAAAGGCCTGTGTAATTTGTCTTAATTTGGTGACTGCAGTTATTTGTGTTTGCTAGAGCATATTTGTACAGCACGTACTTGATGGAAATGTCCTTACTTTTCTTTCAGTTTGGGAAGCCAGCAGCACCGCGTGTGACTCGGATACTCTGTGTGATCCAGCCGTCCTGGTGTCCCCCTCCAACGCAGAGCCCCACATACGCAACCGCCGCCTGTCTCCTGGTTCGGGCAACTGTGGGGGCGGCGGTGGGGGGGGCTGCATCTCGGGAAGCACCCAGCCTCCCCGCCAGCTCTCCCCCGAGGGCGACCCCCCCAGCCCCGGCCACGCGCACGCCCTCATCGTCCGCAGGGACAAGGAGCGCAGGGGCCAGCCGCACAAGGGCCGCAGCCTACGGCGGGAGGGCCAGAGGGCGGCGGGGCGTCCGCAGAAGGCCGTCCAGAAGGAGAAGTGGGTGGAGGACAGTCTGTCGCTGCTCAGGCCCCCGCCCGCCTTCCCCGTGCAGGACAGCCCCGCCAAGCTGCAGCCCGCCGTCAGCTACGCGTCCAAGGTGAAGGCGGGGCCGGCGGGCGGGGCGCTGGACGAGGACCGCCCGGCCATCGGCATGCTGCTGCAGAACCAGTGGGGGCTGAGCTTCATCAGCGAGGCGCGGCCGGCCCCGGAGGGCTGCGGCCCCCGCCCCCCCGCAGATGCGCTCCCCCCCACGGACCCCGCCCACCCGGCAGACCCCCAGCACCAGGCCGCCCTCACCGTCCAGCTGCCCGGCGACACGGCCGGCCCCGCCGCCCAGCTCACGCTCGCCGAGGCCCAGAAGGGAAACGGCGAGCTGCTGCTCAGCTGTCGCCACCTAGTGGAGGCGCTGAACTACCACAGTAGAGGTACGTCCACTTATCCACCGGACCGCTGCTGTCTGGACACCAGAAATAATTCACGCCTCTAAAAAAAAAAACCTTTTTTCTTTTTATTCTAGAGTGGAATATCGCCTGTAACAGACAGAAGAGAGGTAGGTTGGCAAAAATACGCTGTTTTTCAAAGGGCACAAATGTAGCATGTTCTGACTGCATGTTTATTTTTGTTCATTCGTAATGTTGCGTGGTTAAGTGCAGCCCTGGGTTCTGCCAAAGAATTTCACGGTTACTAAATGAGATATCTGTTCTCCTAAAGTGTATTTGATTTGGGATTTGTTCTTTTCTCACAGATCCAAGAAGAGTTCTCTGGTACAAGGACGCCCAGGAGCAGCCGGCCTAGCCGAGCCACGGCCCAAAGCATCGGCACACACACACGGCACACACACCCACATGCACATGAGAGTATATGAGATGGACTAATTTGAGTCCCGTTCACACTGCACTCAGGATGATGTCTTCAAGTAAAGCCGCCACACTGAGACACTTTGGACTAACTCCTTTTGAGATCTTACAGCAATGGACTTTTTTAATGCCTTACAGAAAGCCTGCCTTAAAAAATCAGTTGTTTCAGCCCATCTTTTCCATTTTAGCTTCTGTATAGACCCGTCTTTTGTTTTGTTTTTTTCCTTTAAACAATCTCGGAGGAGTCTAATTTAATTTGTTCCCTTTTTGAGAGCTGCGGTTTTATCAAACATTGTGTCCTCTGTTAAGTGAGTGGTCAATCAAGCACTTTGTTTTAGAAAAAAAAAAAAAAACTTGACCAGTCCCTGTGTGCAAGTCGCCATCACAGAGCGACGTGTTCTCCTGGCTAAACCAGAATTTCTTGCACCTGCGCGAGTTCTGTAATGTAGCAGGTGACTTCTGTATTCATGTTTTCCGTTTACAGAGGGGGGGGGTCAGAGTTCACCCTTCATCAGATCGTAATGCTGCGTTCCGTTTCTTTATTATCTGGTCCCTGTTCGGGTGAATGTTACTCATAAGGGATGTCACCATGTTCAGTATGTGGACTTTTTAAAGGATTTATTGAATTAAAAATGACACTGGAGAAGGAGAAATGTAAGAACAGTATTGATTAATAAAAATGAATAAACTTAAAGCTTTGTTTATTCTTATGTGAACACGTGATGTAAAATCTCTTCAGACTTCTGAAAGTGAGGTTTCGGTGGGAAATTTACACTCTTATGTACAAGTTTTTAAACTTAAGATGAAGATACAGCTGCTTTTAGATCAGATTCCACTAAATGGCCAGAGTATTAGAAGTAGCCTTACGGGTTCCTCAGTCCCTCCACAGCACCTCCACCTCATCCGTCCTGTACCTGCACCAGAGGGGGCCACATCATCAACCACACTCCAGAACGATAACACACACGGCCCCCCGTCAGACCTCAGCGGGGGGGGGGGTTCTGTTGTGGTAACTACCTCTGTGTGATCCAGGAGTCCTGCAGCTCGGTCACCTGTCCGGCGCGGAACATCTCCCAGCCGGCCTGAGCGATCATGGCTCCGTTATCGATGCAGAACCTGTAGGAGCAGACGGACCTGGTTATGCTCCCGGTCAGTTTAAGTCCACCCCCCCCCGGCCGCCCAGGAGGGCCCCCACCCACCGCTCGTCGGTGGCGAACAGCTTGGCTCCCCTCTCCTCACACATCACCTCCATCATCTGCTGCAGACGCAGGTTACCTGGACAGGAAGTGACACGTCACGCCCTCTGTGGGGGGGCCGTTAGGCTCCGGGGGCCTTCGGGCCCCTCTCCGGTGCACTTACAGCCCACGCCCCCCACTATGAGGACCTCCTGGGAGCCGCAGTGGGCCATGGCCCTCTCTGTGATCTCCACCAGCATGGCGAACAGCGTCTCCTGCACAGAGGGAGCCAGTTAGAGCCTAGCTTTTTTTCTAATCTGACTCTTTTCCAGATGTACCCGCGGGCTGTTGTCTCTCTGAACTCATCTGTACCTGAAGTGAGAAGCAGAGGTCTTCGGCCGTACACTGACCAGAGCTCAGCATCTTATGAGCAGCTTCCTGTGAAAGGAGACAATGTTGGATTCATGAACCAAGTGAATGATAAAGCAGTTCCATATTCATGTTATACCAAATAGATGCAGCATAATGTACTATGAAACTATTTGAAAAAAAAAAACTTTCATAGAAAATGTTTCTATGGTTTAAAAGGAAAGAAAGAGAATGAAAATATGCAGTTGGTAATAAAAGTTCATTGTCTGGCACTGCTGTCTCACTTTAGTCTTTTTTCCAATGAAAGGAAAATGGTTTAAATCAAGTGTTTCAATGAAAATACGTGTTGGGATTGTTTCTGTCATGTAAAGAACCTCTTTGTGTTTTTGATTGATGTCTGAAATAATAAACTGATCTGCACATAATTCACCTTTTGGCTTTCTGATCCATTTCCACACATCACCCAAACACAGGACCCTGAATGCACCTCGGATTATTTGAAACCACCTGTCAGCATGTGCTACACCAGCAGAGGGAGGCAAATTTCTCCAGAACAGAAGGGGGCCGCGTAGGTTTTACAATGAGCAAAAGCAGAAGACTGCCTGGATGTCTTAAAAAATAACATCATTTGCTTTGTGTTTTTAATATGAGCTGCACTGCTCTCTGCTGAATCTTCATTAACTGTTTCCATTTTTTTTTATTAAAAAAGGGAACACTTTTTTGTTTGTGTGCTCTAGTTTGTGCTTAATGAAGACCG